GGGGGGGGGGGGGGGGGGGGGGGGGGTACTGATTTTTGTTTGCCTTGGCGATTTGACAACTGCCCCCGTTACTTTTTCGAGGAGAAGCGGTCCTACTAATACTGTTGAAGAGACACCGGCGTTGCAGGGGGGGGTCCTGGAGTCAAGTACTCAAAGATCGTTGATCCTCGAATTGCGGATGTACAAACCGGGGATGGACAACAGCAAGAAGGCACGTAGGGTTATTTTTGACGATCAGACCGCCGCTGCAGCAAGCGCGACAGGGATGGCAAGAGGGAGAGAAAAGGATGGGTCCCCGTCATGGTGTGAACAGCCGTCGTCCAACGAGCGGATACGTCTAACACGCACAGTCGGTAGATATTAATGAGGGAGGGGGAGGTGGCTGCGGCGGAAAAAATGAAAACCATCCCATGTACACCTACCTACCCATACGCAGCCGCAAAAAAAACACACGCTACAACCAGCAAAGGCAGGGGACGGGGGACGCACCGAGGTGATCCGATAGAACAGGTCGATCGGGCCGCCGTTCATGGCCGCGAAGTCATCCATCTGCTTCCTCAGCTCGGTCTCCGAGACGCGTGCCTTTGCCTCCGCCACGTCTGTTTCGGAATTCCAACGGTTGCACATGTCGGTAATGGCTATTTCGGCGTTCACACAGGTAACACCCTTATGCGGATTTGGCGGTACTACATGGACGTTTCCACGTTATTCGGCGGCGACGACTCTGGCGGCGGCGGCAAAATGTTATCTTTGTCGCGTCTCTCTTGTCAGGGACGTTGGGTGTTGCTCCCTCTCGAAAGCGAACATACGCGGTCAACCTCCCAAGCGTCCTCGAAGACGACTACCCCCCCGCCGAGCCTCTCACCAATGTACCGCTGCGCGGTGATGTTCTGCAAGATGGAGGGCACGTGGTCCGGGTTCCCGTAGCCGTAGAAATGCCGCCGCTGGACCTCGTCCTCCGTCGACGCTGCCGTTTTTGCGGACGCTGTCGCTACCGAAGACCGAGGCGGCGGTGGCGGCGGCGGCGGTCGCGCGGCCCAACCTCCCGGAGAAGCGGGGCATGCTGGAGCGAAGAAGGCTTCGGCGGCATGGTGAGAAAGACAAAATGCCGCCGCCGCCGCGGCCGACGACACGGCCGTTACCAAGTGCTGGTCGGCGGTGCAACACGGTTGATGTATGCAACGGGGGGGNGGGGGGGGGGGGGGGGGGGGGGGGGGGGGGGGGGGGGGGGGGGGGGAGAGTCGTTGTGCACGTGGCATGCACATTAGAGTGGCGGTCCGCAACATCGGTGGCGAGGCTGGGCATCAACCATGCAACCGTAACCAGCGCTGATACCAATCATGTGTACTCAACCAACCAAGCGCCGGTTGTACCCAATCGCTTCCTTTGTCGGCGTTGGACGCCGACCGCAGCGGAGTTGAAGTGGTCACGGATGCCCGCCATACGGAAACTTCGCTAATCATGAAGTCCAACACATTCGAATGGTTCCAGAGTAACACGACCAGATTTCGAGCTACTGCTACTAGTGCTACGGCGGCAAAGTCTGTCGATAGTCGAAAGCATTCGTCCTTCATCTGTTACCTTCCCCACCGGAGCTGGTGTTCGTGCGTGCAGCACATCGTACCTCGTACAAAAGAATACCGCATGCAGTGTTGTAGCGGGCCCATTGACATACCATGGATGGTACCAATCCATCGAATCTGAGAGGGAGGCCAGCCTCGACAATGGGAAACTAGCACATCGACATTCGTGCATGTAATTCACACATAATCGCACAAAGAAATGCAACCTAAGCAGGAGCACGCAATGCCGCCTGCATGATTTGCGTGTCGCAAGCTTGCTGTGTGATCGGCACACAAGCACAACAGCTAGCATGTTTACTGGTCTGTCTTAGAGGTTTCCTCCGACAAGAAGAAGGCACAGCAAACAATAGGTCCGAATCCATGTCTTCACCTTCATGATCACCGGGCAACAGGAAGGAGAAGGCTTCACGCCTACGGAGAGAGCCCAGAGCGTAGTACAACATACGCGACTACACCAACCAACGAGGCTGTGGGGGGCCGGAAAGCAGGACCCCCCTCACCAACAACCTCCCCTTCACTATATCTGCGTCGCCCCCAGAGTCGCCAACCAACAAATGCGGAATGCGACGACACAAGACATACATTGCGCCACGGCTGCACAGCTAGAAGCGAGAGCAGACAGAGAGACGCGGACGGAACGATGGCTAGACTATTGAAGAAAGCCGGTGATTTCGTGCTGGATGTTGCTGCGACGCAGTACAAGCGGAGCATGACCAGGAAGCTCAATGCGTTTGGTGAGTACCGAAAGACCCAAGCAGCAGGACTGCTGGGTGGGCACGTGCGGGGAAAGGGTAAACGGCGCTCTCAGCGTTGCTCTCTGTTTCGAAACGTTCGTTTAGAGCAGGGTCCCTGGACTGTTTGTAGAGAACGCGTGCGAAAGGAGCATAGCAAAGCGGGGGTATTCTCGGTCCGAATTTCCCCTTTCGTCTACTCGGTATCGTTTCGTTCCGCTGCTATCGGCTATCGTGCTCCCTTTTTGTGAATGAATTTTGCGTCAGCGAACAGTGAGGTTGGTTCCACAAGAGCGACTAAGCAGTGTGCTTTGTCGGTATCGTACAAGAGTTCGTTCCCGCCGCGCACCGGATCTCTCCGTCTCTCTCTCTGTCTCTCTCACTCTCTCATCGGCACTTTACCACCGCACCAATTACGTTGTCGGGCAACTCGCTATGCAACCACCAACATCATCAGCACGTCTGATGCCTTCGCAGTACTACGGAACTCATGCCGACTGAACTCGGAGGGGGCCTGAGCTTGGTGTGTCCACCGGTGTAATAGGTGCATTCGCTGCAGCAGTTCCCATTGCTGCTCTCGACGCCAGCAAAGCTATTTTCGTGTGTATGATACAAATGTTGTTCATCTATTGTTGCAACAATGTTGAGCATGTGTTCCTAAACGCTCACACGGCCGCTCCCCTTTCTCGCTACAATAGCCGACCCGGTGAAATCACGTACTGCTGTGTTCGCCCCTCTTGCATGCGATACACACTGCTGTACTGCTTGCGTACTCTTCGTATCAGTATATACCGTTGTTTTCGTGACTTGCCCCGTAGCTGCGGACGTCGCAACACATATTTCAACTACATCAGGCAAGAACAGGCGGCTCTGGCGAAGCTGCTACCGCTGTACAGGTGGCGAACGGATGATATATGTACGTATGCATACCATTTTTGCTTTGCTGTGCCTTGTTTGGTTGTCCTGGTGCAGGGCTCAAGTTTGACGACCTCATGATGGAGGAGGACCCCGACGTGGCGGAGGCCGTGCGGCGCCTGACCCCGGAGCAGCAGCTCGCGCGCAAGCGCCGCCAGTTAAGGGCGTTCGACATCTCCCTCAAGAAGACCCCGCTGCCAGACCACATCCAGGCCGTACAGGACCCCTTCGAGGTGGGTGTAAATATACCTTTACCCGTTTTTTTTTATTGGCATACCACCGCCTCCACAATAATACAGCTGACGAGCCACGATTTGGGTGTAGACGGGTTAAACAAGGCGCGGGTTCCACGAAAGGTGTCAGAGATTTTGAATGGAGAAAACAGGCAGGCGTACCACTCCTTCACCGTAGGTTGCATAAGATATCACACACCGCCTGGGCCGGTTTTCAACGCTCGATTTTTTGGCAGGAAAAACAGTGACGGCACCGAGAATGGCGGGAGGCGTTGAAACCGCCTCGTCGAAAGCTTTCCGAAAACGTATCATTTGAACTCGGCATGCTCTTCGTCGTGGAGTATTCGAGCTCTGAAAATCGCTCCAGGGGGTGTGGTATATTACGCACTATGCAACCTACGGTATGCATACGTATGCACCAAAACCGTTTGCGGGATGAAGAAGCCTGGCCGAAGCTGGTACATGTTTGGCACCGCTGCTGGCCCCCCGCAGGAGCCAGACAAAAAGCCGCATGTGTGTTTATTATAAGCATCGACCGCGCTAACCGGCTGACGAATGAAAAGACGTCAGTCTCAGTGCGGTTGAAAACACAAAACACTTGTATCTGCCATGAACTGGGACCCCGTGAGGGGGCAGCATGGGGGAGGCTGTGTGTGTGTGTGTGTGTGTGCTTTTATTATTAGCATCGACCGCGCTAACCGGCTGACCAATGAAAAGACGTCAGTCTCAGTGCGGTGTGTATGTGTGTGTGTGTGTTTTTTTTTTATTATTATTAGCATCGACCGCGCTAGTGTGTGCTTGCTTCTCTTTCTCTAGTTACCATCGACCGTGCTGCAGCAGTACCCGGCTGAACAATGAAAAATCAGTCTTGCAGGGTGTTGTGTCTTCCTTTCTTTGGTTAGCATCGAACGCGCTAATCGTCTCAAACACGTCCGTCTCCTAGCGGAATAAAATATGTGTGTGAGAATATGCATACGTTTGTCGCTGTCAACCTGTCCTCCGAATGAGGAGGGGCCGCCTGACATCGGTCCTCGTTCTCAGAACAGCGGCGAAAAAAGCAACAGTTGGTGATGAGACCTTCGTCGGCGCTTGGCAGGGTCCGCTGCATGCAAGGGATGCTGTCAAGGGCGGTTCGCTTTTTTTGTTTGTTTGTTCGTCGAGTTTGAAGGAAGGGGGCTGCAAACGCATTGGTCTCCCGCCTCACTCCGTACATGCTCTCCGTGCGTGCTTACCTTGTGAGAGGCGGAGAGATGGCACCACCACCCCTCAGACCTACTTTCGTAGCTCGATTGCTCCACGACCAAAGGGGGTGCGCAAGGAGCCCAAAATAATGCTACCGAGAGAATACGCAACGAGATGTTTCTCGAAGCCAACATTTTTGGCGTTGGCGCAACCTTGGTTGTGGGGCAATCGACCTTTGAAGACCGGTCTAGGCGGGGTACCTCCTCTGCGCTCTCATACGGTACGGTACATGTCGATTGCAAGCCAACATGAGAGTCTGACAACCCTGAGCGGAGAGAAGTCGGCCATGCTGCAGGACGCCCAACACTTCGATGCAAACAGCAGTGCCAGTGGCTAGTTGAAATTTTGGCACTCTGCCTCCCTTGTGAGCACGATAAAGAATTTTTGTCGGTTTGCGCAACAAGTTTGTGGCGAGGAACGCTTTATACGATAGTACAATGTTGACTTCATGGAGTAGACCCGTGCCGGCTGGAGCCATTGACAAACCCCCACATGTCGAACGAGTGTATTTGTCGGTATGCTAAACCTGTCCCCTACCCGTCGACGCCCCCCCCCCACCCCCGCAGCCGTACTTGCAGGACATCATCAAAGAAGTGCGGGAGGAGAGGCTCGAGAGGGAGCTGCTCAACCAACGGTGATGGGTGGTACGATAACGAGCGAGAAGGGCGATTTCGTGGGCGTGGGGGCTCGCGCAAGATGCGTGTGCGTGGAATTGCCAGTAAGGCGGTTTCATCCACGGGCTGAATCATTATCGATCTCGGAGTGAGGGGTCGCTGAGGGCTGGATCCCACCTTGGGATTGGAAAGGGGGAGGGAGAGGGGTTGTTGGAAAGAGTCTGATCGTTTGTACTTGTCTACCCCGCACCTCAACAGCTCTCGTTGTCTCGCGTGAGTGGGCGTATGTTTTTTAAGACGAATCTTGCATCGATCAGCACCCCTTGCAGATTTAGGCCTTCATCATGTAGGTGGGAGATGACATGATCTGGCGCAGCAAGATCGTTTTTTGTCGTAGGCCGGCTGGGAACAAGTTTGTTGGCAGCGAGGTTCAGCTTAAACGTGCGGCAGCACCTCCCTTGGGGGTGTTTGTGCAAACATCTGCCCATCTACGACACCTTTTTTTAAACCATATCTTTGGAGGATTTTTCGTTGTTTCGCCTTTCTCGCTTAAGCAATCTGGGGGCACTTATAACGTCCACCTTGCAAGTACAGATGACCACATGAGCACAGAATCTTGGCCGTGGACGGGGGGGGTGGCTGGCGTTGGCGGCAGAGTCGGAGATTTGAGACGAAACCGTTGCTGCTGAGAGAGCGAAAGAGAGGTCGGGAACAGGAGCGCGCGTTTTTGCAATCCATTGATTGTGAAGGAGAACCACAGTCCAAACATCCAACGGGGTGGAGATTAGGGAGGAGAACGGACACCGTCGCGTGCCCCCGTGCCCCAGACTGCCTCCCGCCTCATCGGTCGCAAAGCCGTTACATGCATGGTTGGCGAGTCTTCTTATCTATCTGTTTCGCCGTTTGGGAGGATGGATCCAAATACGTGCGTATCCCGGCACCTTCTACCTACACCTATGCAGCATGTAGCGACTCGTCGAAGGTTTCACCCGTGCAACCTATGCGGTGCTGCAGTCCCATTGTTTCTCGTACTTGGTCCGTAGGTGGCGATTGGGAGAGGCGTGTGGACGGAAAAGAAAATGTCTGCGGCTTGCTCATCACGCAGCCGTCGCGAGCCTATTATTGTCTTGCTTGTGAAGATTCCTCATGGAACTACATGTACAGCAGAAGTAGTACGTAGAAAAGTTCGTCCCCCGATCCCTGTAAGTAATCCACCATGCTTGCTATCTTGTGAGCGGCACCAGGGGGCTGTCCCGTGTGATTTGGATGGAACGAGGAAATCCGGCTTCCTCTACTATTGATAGCCAGCGTCTTGACATGGCGCACACACACCCATGGACGACGCGCTCCGAACGATACTTACTTGCCTATTCACGTTGTGTGCCCACCTAACTTCCATTATCACATACATGTCTAATACAGCAACGCCCGTCGATCCCCTCGTGAGGACCTCTTACCGTCGGTAGAGTAAATTACTGGTCAAGAGTGAGCCAAATTCGACGCTGTTTCATTGGCTGTCAGCCTTGCTCATCAATATCCATGTCTCCCTCTTGGGGCACTCACTCTCTGACACTTTACAATCTTGGCTGACGAACCGCGCATGCGCACAGCAGTATCGACCACAGCATCAATCATTGGCGGCACGCACAACGCAAGCAAGACATACATGACGTCGATCGAGACAGACTCGTTGAAGCTGTCTCTTTCTTTTTCATTGTCTACACACATTATCATATCATCCTTACTAGAGAGCTCAAGAAATTGGCGATGGACTCAAGTGTTTTCATGTACTCGTACGCGTGAGTGTGGTAACAGTAAACAGCACCCCGGCGGAGTTGCAGTTGGCATCCCCTCGTGGCATAAGCAAGCATACACCACAATCAACCGACCCACAACCTTCCTTGATTGACTCTTTTGTGCTTTCTTTTCTCGACATTGAAAGAGTGCTCCGTGATAAATCCCTCGACCTCGGTACTTCTGACCTGAAATTGGAAATTGGTGTTTCCTGTGACAACAACAACAAACAGCAGACACAGACAGCAAGTAATACCACGGGGGAAGGAGCGGTGACCCGTGCCGTCGCTTTCAATTTTTCACTGCTGATGCAAAAAGAGACGGTTCCGGAGGGCATCGAACCCTCGACCTCGCGATTAACAGTCGCACGCTCTGCCACTGAGCTACGGAACCCATGCCCTAAGATTGCTGGGCAACGATGCAAAGTTTGTGTATTTAAATAACTTAGCGTGTCAGAGCATCAAGGATACCTACTTGTAAATGCTGCCATCGGTCTAAGTAAGAAGGCGACCTTCCACACTCTCTGAGAGCAGCAAAAATGTCCTGGGGTATCTTTCGCCTCTAGAGAAACGAAGGTGTGCCCAGAAATGATAGAGATGACGAGAAAAAAACGAAACTTGTGTACATACTTTCCAAATTAACAAACAAAGGTGAAACTGGGCCGACGACGTTCAACCGCGGGGCCCCCAGCCCTCGGCGTGTACCTCTCGCATTCCAGATTCTCTCGACGGCACTTGCGTGTGCTGACCCCTCGCAAACACGCACCCTGTCTCGCAGCGCATCGCTCGTGGATAGGGTTGCTATCTATCGCCTTCGACACTTTTAAGAAGACGCGTCCGGGGGATGGTGACAATGCAGGTAGGTTACATTGCACGGATGTACATTCATTGTGTGTACAATGATTGACCGGGGACTCCCCGCCCTTTTGTTAGGTCTCGCTGCAAGTGAGGCACGTTAGCCCTGCTGCTGCTGCCTCGTGTATCATCGGCCGGGCTACTACAGCACAAGACACGCGCAGCAGAGATCTCATTTCCGTCCTGACAACCGCTTTAAATTGCGTTCTCCCCTCTGGCAAGTAGGCACGCGCCAGGCAGCAATGAGGACGGTTGTCAATCTCACACTAATAGTCTAATAGCGATGGTCTTGCCACTCGACTGGCTCTGTGCCGAAGTCACCGCGGAAAACCTCGTGCAGGTCAAGAGAGTGAATGGGTGTGGCAGCAGCAGCAGCAGCAGGGTGCGAATATCGTGGTTTTTGCTCGTCTACAAGCATTGCTGCTGTAGTTGCTGCACACACGCCACATTCTCCGTTTAGTTGAAGTCGAAAAGAGAGCCTGTTCGACTACTTCGACCTTGGGTGTGGTCTGTGGAAGCAGATGTTACAACAGCAGTCCCTTCGAACAACAGGCTTGTGGGAGAAGGACTTGTTTCACCAGACTTCCACAGACTGAGGGAGCCCAGTTTCCAGTAAGTCTCGTTGAATGATAACGGTAACGAGATCAGTCCACCCGCCTTGAGAATAGTCCCAAACAGGGCAGCAGGCCGTCCGTAATATTGCTATGTATACGAACTGCCGTGTACAACTCCAAAGAGTTGTTTTCAAGAGCGAGTGAGGGACTGAGAAAAGGCGGTTGATATCTACTACTGTAGGAGTCGTAGCTTGTTACACTTACGAAGCGCGTGCGTATTAGGGACAGCTGGAAACGTTGCTCAAGGTGTTGGGTGCGGCATTTCACCCGCCATGCGGTATTTCACCCACACGCGAGTACCAGCCGCAGGGATCAGTCACGTCGCTTCACAAACGATATCTCCCCAAGATTTGACGTTGACGGTGATGTAATAGCCCGCGTCTGTTCAGTAGCTTTCGCAGGGGTGTTCGATTACGTTAAGCATATTGGATAAAGCATACAATCGGGGAAGCTAGGTTTGGGTATGCGTTAGGGAATAGGGTCTGCGTACCCCCTCCCTGGTATATCTCCTCATGAACTTACTAGTCTCGCGAAGGCGGTCCCGTCAATTGGAAACCTTGGGCGGTATTCTCACACGGCGTTCTCAGACAAACGCTACCCCGCCCCCCTCTCACACACGCCGACTCTTCACACGTATCGACCTTCATCTCCTCCGCCCGACAAAATGTGCGTCATTCGTAGAGCTCCATTGTACATTATATTTCGAAGTACCACTGATTCAGCTTAGAGCGGCGCTTTGACGTCTTTCGTTGCTGCAAACATGCACCAGGCAGTAAGCGTCGAGTTACACTTATTCAACTGACTGAGCTCAAAGGGGCGGCTTTTATTTGTTGCTGCAACCACGCGGACGGCAGTAGGAGTACGACGAGGGGCCGATATGAGCATGTGTTGCCCCCCCCCCCCCCCCCCCCCCCCCCCCCCCCCCCCCCCCCCCCCCCCCCCCCCCCCCCCCCCCCCCCCCCCC